TTGGGAAACAACTCATGGCTGTAATGGAAACATACAAGAAAAACAACTAGGAAAAAACCAATGAATTGAAGGTGATGGTGCTATGCAGATGTACACAGCAAGCAACCAGCAAAACAGAAAATCCATCTCCTACATGGGAAAGGGATTGATCAGGCCACAGATAACTTAGGCATCAGACTTCAGGTGTAAAACCTTTCTTTTTCATTTTTTTGGAAAAGGCTATTGGGACTGGAGGGGAAGAAGTCGGGAGGAATGGAAGACAGAAGTGGGCTGCCAAAGTGTTTTAACAGATTCCTAAACGTATCAGCCCAGTGACAAGTCCCTGTGTATCGACAAAAAAGGTACACTGAAGCCAAAAATGGTGCAAATCTTGCTACAAACATCTGTCTTTTGGAAGAATTACTTATAATTAACCAGAGACAATACACTCTCTTATTTATACTGGTTTTTCCTCTTCTTTTGACACATTTTGCTCTAAATATTAAATGCCATGGGAATTTTCTAAAACCCCAGCAAAGTGAATAAGGAAGATTTAATTCTTTCTGTTCTTTGTTTCATTATTTCTTTAAATTGCTTTCTCCACCTTGACATTTTTCTCTCCTTCTCTGGTGATCCCAGAGGTAAGATTTATGTTTACAACTGATGGTTTATGATTAAGACATTGAACTTTGGTCACTGAATTAGTACTGTCTCTAGGTTCAGAAATCCTGCAGCCATGCACGAACCCCCGGGGGACCCTCCATAACCAGGGTGCCGACTGGCGACGAATCCGGGCTGTAACCCTTAAGCAGTAGCATCCCCCAGTGGCCCTGGCTATCACTGCAGTGCCGTTTTGGGGATATTTTTCGGCTCTCTAGCTGTCAATGTAAATGTAAATGTGAATTCAAGTGCCTCAGAACTAGCCAGTACTCAGAAGTCTGCTGAGCTCTGTAAAGAACCATATATATTTGACAAAAAATTTGTTTCCAGTCATTGCATATATCACATGTGTATTGCAAAACACATAGCTGTAAAAACAGGACTTTTTTTTCCTAAATGCATTCAAAAAGGGGGAAAAATCGGACCAAAAGAAAGTCAGACTCTTTACTGGAAATCTTTCTTGAAGAACAGAAAATAAGTACAGAGTTTTTTCCAAGAATATGAATTTCTACATCTCTGTTTGGCTTTTTTTACAAGATCATGACTCAAGAAAAGGATACTATAGCAACTGTCAATTTTTAATCTGCCTTTTGATTGACGTTCACATACTTAGAAAATACAGACCATCATATATATTGAATTAGAATTCTAAATCAAAAAATCTTGGTTGATATTTCATTAACCCAATGAAAATTCCACCATGTTTTCAGAAAAAACCAAGAAGACACCTGCCACTGTTCTTAAACTCAGCCCATTTGCAGAACAGTCCAAAATCGTGTTCACTGGGATTGCTTTCCCTGTTCCCTAAATGAACTCAGTCATTGACAAAAGGGTATTGGAGTACTACAAAATATTACTGGAAGGGGTAGAGAATAGGAGGAGGTAGAAGGGCAGACAAATGATGCACAGATAACACAAATACGGGGTTCTTGCACCCACCCAGCTCCCTCCCAGCCCAGAAGCAGAGCAGTCACATTGCACAAGCCCTGTATTTGTGCCGACTCAGGGGAGAGGGGATGGAGGGGGGAGGATGTGCAAGGATGCTGGGTGAAGAGCCAGAGCAGCACTTCTGCACAACACTTCTGTACAAGAGGAAAAGAAGGAATTTTCTCTTGTTAATATTGAAGACGTCCAGTTACTTCTAATGCTGCAGCACTGGAGATGAAGGGTTGTTAATTAAAACAACCCATCTGAAAATTAGTGGGATTTCTACATTAGCTTGAAATTCAGCAGGGGATTTTAAGCAGTGCAGAGCAGAAATCGATGAACATTTTTGTTGTGTCTGTATCAGAACCTCACCAGACCTGATGTCCCATGAGCCCACAGAGGTGACATGGGACATCCAGCAGGTGAGCCCAGCAGGCCTGTGGTGTCACATAGTTATTTCTTTCCCTCTTCTTACCCTTGTCACAATAGCTGAGGACATCTAGCAGAGTTTTATAACAGATGCATGCTTCCACTCTCTGGCAGCAGTGTAAAGCACTGAATACTTGAGACAAGGGGAAAATATACCCCAAACCTAATCCCCAGAACATATGTGCCTTGTCAGTAATTTAAGGGCTAAATGCTGGGTCCTTCCTCTGAGGTAACCTAAGGGAAATCTGTCTTTCTCAGTATCTCTGAATCTGATCCTTCCGAGCAGCAGTCAGACCAGAGTGTGAATGTGCTAACTGAGACATGACAAACCCATGTAGCAACTCTTGCTGATATTCTGTTATTCTGTGGTTAAGGCTCATGAGGATTTTTGAAAGGAAGTTTATTTTTGCAAGCTGCTGAGTGCTGACTATGACGTGGAGCAGCTTTCACTTAGGCAAATGTCTTAACTTTGGTAAAGGCTATTAATGTGGCATTTACCAGGAAACCGTGTAGATACACTTGGCTTAGGCTATTCAGTGAAAATACATATTGTAGATTTTAACAAAAAATGGATGGCTACAGTTCGGCACAAAAGGAGAAGGCAGCTTTTGTCTTAGCAGATATTATCTCTTCCTTTCTTTTTGCTAAAACCATTTCAGAGGTTCTGAGCAATGCTCCTTAGAGGTTATTATTGCTACCTAAAACACAGGGCGTGGTATTCAGCATGACAAATCAGTTTTATGTAATTCAGATATCTATCTCTGCCACTTACATGAAGTGGATGATTCTGAAAAAGTCAGCAACAATGATAATGAAAACATACATTATGATACAATATGTCACACAGCACTGAAAATTAATCCTGCTGCTAAAGAAATGGAAAATGCACAATAAACACATTACCTGAAATTAAAACTGGTTCTGACCAAATCTCCAGAGCCCTTAAAGTTGTAACAATGATTTCCTATTTATATGGACTGCGTGAATTCTCAGGTGATTCCCTGTGGAGATCTGTAGAAATACTTTTTCCAGAGCTGAGGAAAGGAAAATAGGTAGCTATAATGGAACTGCAGGAGCAGCCAAGCAGTAGATTGATTCAACAGGAGAAATTCAATGTATCCCAAAGGATTTCCTAGGATTTGCTCTCCTGCTGCTTAGGGCACAATTTGTTGTAATGAGAAACTGAGGATTTTGTTTCAGGTGTGTCAAAGCTTGTAGTGATGACTTGAGAGTATAAAGAAAAAGAAACAACTGAAAATCTCTCTTAAATAATGCTTTTGGGTGAGGAGAGAAAAACAACAAGCTCTCCAAGGTGCAAAAAAGGTCAAATATCTCATGTAAATAATTATTACCTTAAGAGATACTAATTGGATGCTCAGTCGAATCCTTCCTTTCCAAACTGCTGCATTAAACAGCTTGAAAACTACGGTACACTTCAGCAAGCAAAACAGAGAAAGCTTTATTAAATTATCTGGGAAGATTACACTTGGTCTCACTGTAATCTGCTCTCAGAAATGTCTGCAGAAAAAAATACTGTTTTCAGTTATGAAGAACTGAGTTAACAACTTATAAAACACCCAACCCAGAATAACTGAGGTTTGGGGTTTTTTATTTAATAAGGGAACATTTAAACGTGCAGACTACTCTGTTCATCTGAAGTGTGTCACAAGGTAGAACACTGGCAGAAAGCATGTACTGCTGCAGTACTACATAAGCCCTCTATAAAAGGTTAAGTGGGATGTGCACAACATGAATTTCACCCTGAAGAAATGTGAAAATTTTTAGGCACTTATGTCCTCCTCTCTGAAAATGAATAGTCATTATCAACACAGAGCTACTCCACAGTTGTGCTGTACCATAGCCTACGCAGGTTTTATCAACCATCACTTTTTAGTGAAAGCTCTGAAACACTGTGTTCCTCAAGCAAAGCCCTGAGTTGTATTCAGAAACAGGCTGCCATATGGAATTCCCTCAGGCAAAATGCTGAATGCTGATGGCATCTCCATTTGATGAGGGAAAACACGTAACATGTGAAACGTTCATATTCTCAGCAGAGCGTGTTGTTCAGCTCTAGCCTGCCCCTCACGCTTCTCAACATCACACATTGTATTGAAACATCACATGGTGCACCAACAGAGAAGAAATGGATGCTGTAAAAAATACCTTACCAAGAATGAGCACTCACATGTGAATGACGTTGTACCTGGACACTCAGCACAGGCTTACACTTAGTTACAAACAATGAAACTATTCAGAACCCAAAGATGTGAGTCTTCTAAAGCTTTTAGAACACAGAACAAAGCAGAAGAACCTGCCCTTTCTCTACTAGATGATCAAAGTTGCATTACAGCTCCAGGCTCCAATCAATTTCAAGCCTTACCACATGATGTATGATCTCCTAGACTATTCCTCCTTATCAGCAAAAGACAATCAGACTCAGAAACTCTCTCAGCACATAGCATAGGAACAAGTACTGATCAGGAGAGAAGAAAAGCAAGTACTCCACCAACTTGACCTCTTCCCAAAATAAGGACCAGGAGCTTTTTAATTTCCAGTTGAAATTGTATTTTGCAAGACCTTTTTATTCTTTCTGTAAAATCTATGTATAGAGCATATGGAGAATATACATTATTTCAACCAGCTACCTGTCCCTCACTTTTGCCCTATCTCAGCATAAAACACTGATACCCTGATGTCACTGGAGCCTGAAACAGACAGCCAGTTTCTGATCAGGGATGGGGCAGCATCTGAGCACGTGAAAAAGCAAGGAGACAATAATCAGGAACTGTCTATTATAGTTCTTGTTATCCTTTTATTTGCTTTCAGCCTGACTGTGAAGGCAGAGTGAACATTCTACCTCATTCACTAACCTAGAAAGCAATGTAAGATATACACAAGAAATAAAAACAGTAAGAAGCATCAAGAAGAAGCACAGCCTTCACTTTTAGCGAGACAGCCAGCTCTCCCCCATCTTTGGAACCAGCTGAACCAATTACATCCCTTACCTGTATGGTTCCAGAGTCCTGTTGCCATAACACAATGCTTCTTCCCAGGATTCAAGGTTAATACAGGCATCCATGGCACAGTCAAGCATTTTCAGCTGATAGATATTTGTATCTGGTAGACGACCCTCATGGATGCTCAAGAGATTCTGGCATCTTTCCAGAACATGCTTCCACTCTGTTATTGGCCTTAGTTAAAGAAATATATTTAATCGAACAAAAATACAAAACTTCTAAATGCAGCTTAGCAAGGAGTAAGAGTGTCAAAGTATTAAAATAGAAAAGCTGCCATCATTCCAGACTCTGCTACAATTCTTGAAAACATACTTAAATGCTGAAGTGGTAGCTTAGGTAACTGTGCTTTGTTTATATGTAACAAAACAATTTCTAAAGAAGGCAGTATTTTAGCAATAAATGGTAATAGAAAGATGACAAATTGCAAGGATATTTTAATACATAACAGAAATTCAAATAGCTTTTATTTAGGTACTGAAACATTATTTACTTAAGATACTCCAGTTCTTAAAGCCAAGGGCAAGAGGCCATGGAAATGTCTTTTAAAAAGTCCCAGCAGCTAAAAAAAGAATTTTAAAATATATATATATATAATGACTCATTCTTTTATGCTTCCTAAATTTTTTTTTTTTTAGAATTCTCATGAAATTAGAACCTTTTCTTGAATTAATTAATTTTCTCCTTGAAACAGTCACAAAGAACATTGAGATTTTTCTTTTTCATGTACAGATGCACGTTTTATGCATGACAAAGAGAAGCATCACAGTTTTGATGTCTGACTGTAGTTCAGGACTAATGATCTTGGCAGTAAAGGAGATTTTCACCTCCAAAGCTACGAGAAGATTTTTTGTGAGTTTGGACTGGAGGAGAGATAACCTTGCACTCACTTTATTTGGATATTCCTTAGCACAAATAATTTTTTTCATTATATTCTACACTGATTTGACTTCTCTGTGGACCGGATTCTTCTCTCTCTGACCACACCTAATCTGAACCCCAAAAATTGCAGTTTTCAAATGAATATTACCACCTATGATTGTACCCATGGGAGTCCCAGAATGCAAGCAGTCTAAACCAAAAGATACCACTCACATAAGTAAGAAGAAACGAAATAAAGAAAAAAATGAGACTTATAGCAAGAGAAGTGATAACATTGATTGTATTACAGCCCTTTCCACACAACCAGCTCAAGGAAGTCCAACAGTTATCTTCATGAATTATTGCAAGTACTATTCACACTAATCCAGCAGTGAATTTAAAGTGTACAATTACAAACCTGTGATGCAGTAATTAGTCCGTATTGAACATGGGAATATTTACATACTTAAATTTAAGAATGTGACCACCGTGGGCCAGGATTTATAGCATGGTTCTTACAAGGCTAAACTAATTATTTGTGAATTGCTCTTGGATTGAAAGAGCCATATAAGGGAAGGAATGTGTTACTATAAAATTGCACCTTAACCTTTATATCTTTGGCAAACATCCATGTATTCTTTACAACTGATTAAGGACAAAAAAAACTAGAAGAATGAGGGATGTTATTTCCACTCGATACAATTTTTGTAGAAAGTACAAACCACTGACATTCTTGAAAGATTACCATTTTAGCTGATGCACAGTATGTCTGCTTCTGCTTCTCATTATTCTGCTTTGTTCACTCACTAGCATCTGATAGCAGATGTGCTATATAACAAAATCTCTTGGGACCAAATTTGCAGGTATGTAAAATGCAAACTAGAAAACCTGCCATCAGCTGCAACAGCACCAAAGAGCTGCCTGTCCTGCATCTGCCCAGCAGTGGAGGAGGATTGCCCCAAGCAGCTCTAACTGTAAATTTAGCATTACAACACCACATCAGTTACAATCAGTAGGTCAGAGTGTGGGAGTCACCAGCTTTCTCAACTGTAGAAACCATTGGTTTAATTTGTTAAAAAAAAAATATATTTGCAGGAATTAATAACTATGTGCCTCAGTCTGCTAGGAAGGTTTTCTATTCCTTATTGGCAAGTGGACAAAAGTCAAGTTCCCTCTTCAATACTGCACTGGCCACTGTGTGTCAGTTAATGCTGGTATTGTGGTGCAGTGGAAGGAAAGATGACACATTTCAAATAGCACATGACTGAGAACAGAAGCTGAACAGACTGCAAGAATAGATTTTTCCAACCAGTCCTGATACCTTTTATTACCATGCGTTTGATTAATTATCAGTTAAATCAGTAATCTTAATTAAAGACACTCAAATGCAGTTTCTCCTGCAATTAAATACAGGAACATTAAAAAGGACCAGTATTCTGACTGCATAGTTTAAGAAATATTGCAACTTCAGGCTGCATATCTGTAATTTAACATGCAGGTTGAAATGGGGGCTCTGAAGATCTATTTCAGTACTGTCTGTTTCAAACCAGTGACTACAGAGGAATTTAAAACAAATTAGAAACTATGTGTGATTAAAACACTGAGATGATTGTTTCCCCTCTGCTAAAAAATTAATCTCTCTGGATTAAAAGAAACAAACTCAGTGTAATGGGTTGGGATTTGTTACTGTATAAATTGTGATCATTTGTTTCAAGTCTGAAATATCACTATGCAAACTTGGTTTTCACGCTGCCAAAAAGGAGCAGATTAAATTCTTTCTAGCTTGAGAGAAAGCCCATGCTTCTGAAAATGGTAAGTCATCTGGCCACAATAGGCCAAATTCTCAGTCAGGGAAATTCCCCTGAATAGACCAAGATAAGAAAAGGATCAATAAACTCACAGTATTCTAGTAAAATCTCCACCTCTCTTCTGCTCATCTTTTCCTGGTTGCTGCTGTTCACTAATTTCTTTAATTGGATTGAATATCTACATGACAGCCATTAGACTCCAGTTCTGTTTATTAGTGCAAGATCATTTCATTCAATTTGCTTAATTATCAATTACTATTATATATTATTATATCTTATTATAATGATGCTATAATGTCTGCTGTGAACCTGTCTGTGATTATTTCCTTGTTATTGTCATTGCTGTGCAAAGAATGAGAACCTGTAAATGTTCACACTGAGAGTAATGGAACAAAGAATTTAACAATATTCCAAATTAAGCCTTCTTTCATTTAGAAGTGGATTTATATGAAATGGTAGGCTGTGATAGCAGAAATCTAAATCAGAGCCAAAATATCCCTTCATGTCCTTGGTAGTTACTATCCCTCCCACGAAGCAGCTCCATTCCAAGTAATCAGAGACTCTATTATTAATACAATTAAGAATTTTACACATTTTAAACGCCAAATGAATTAAAAAACATTACAATAAAAAGGATGTAAATGTAAGGAAACTAATCTCAAGAGACGAACTGCATACTAAGGGGATCTTTTCACAACTGAATGACAGACTGTAGCCTGTCATTGAAAGGATACCTTCTTTTGATTTTGGATATCTCACTTCATTTACAGCATCTTTGACTTCTTTCCAGGCATGCTCTTCACCGGCCAATTTCTCAGCATCCTGGTTAATGGAAATAAATGCATATAATGAGAAAAACAGTAAAATGAGAATATGCAGTAACAATGAAAAACAGGGTAAAAGGATTTCATTGTTAAAAGCTCCTTGTAGAGACTGTATTGGTTTTTTTTGTAGACACAAAAAACCCCCATTTCACCTGGAATTCATACTCACCCTGTGTTTGTAAGCAAATGAGATGATATAAAGAAAAATGAATGCAAATTTGGAAACATTAAACACTCAAATCAGACACCAAGTTTGCAACAAGAACTATGATCAACCTTCAGAAGAAAAGAAATAATAGCATGATTTTACTATAAAAATGCATCGAGGCGATCAAATTCTTTCAAAGACTGCTACCTAAGACTTCCCTTAAGCACACTGAAGAAAGGATTTAGCAAATAATTTTGCAGATTTAAAATTTATAACTTTAGCAAATACAACCCCATGGTGATTATAGAGACAAACATTGGGAATTTAAATTCATCCATTAGAGTTATAAACATGAGGTTACAGAAGAAGTCTATGACTCGGAAAAAAGATAAACTTTCATTTAGGAAATCATTACTATATCTTCCCTAGCCCACTGAATTCTACAAACAGCTACATTTTCCTATCACTGTCATAAAGAAAGCAAAAATGATTAATGGCTACAGCAGTAAAGAGAAAGTTTCCCATTTCAACTCTCTAGCGGTGACTAACTGAACCTTAGGCAAACCCCTTGGAACAAATGCATTAAAGCATCTACAGACACAGTTAAGCATCTTGTGGGATTTCCAAAAGCATCTAGTTCTTCAATTTCCATTGCTATAGAACTTAAATACCTTTAAAAATCTGGCCTGTAATATACTGCAGTTCATTACTATCCTTATAAAAGGCCCTGCGACTTTGCATAAGAGGTTTTTTAAGTGCAAAGTCTTGCAGGAATATTTTAAATTCAGTTCTAAAAAGATCAGCTTTCAGCTGGGGTAGAGACCTGCAGAGGAACCAAAAAAGTGTGTTAAAAACTAACCAAGCACTTTGTAACAAACAGATGCTCACCAGGAATCACAGAAGTATTTTCACCTCCACTGAAAAGCCCATAATCTGTAACTGTTTAGAATTGAATCATTTTCTTATTCCACTGTTCCCCATTTGCCATAAATTCAGAAGAAGTTTACACTGAGAATCAGCACTCAGTTTCACATCTAATTTGCAGTTTTGCCTTTCAATCTGCTTCATGAAACAGCAGACCTCTGTGGATTCCTGGGATGATTAAATCAAGATTAAATCAAGGTTGTTCTCAGCTGCCCCACCCTTTGGTAGAGCCTTACATGGAGGGTGGCCTGACCCCACTGCATTTTGAACATAACTTCCCTTACAATCAGTTCTCAGATCAAAATGATCACCTGGAAATAATTTTGTGCAGAGCTGAATTTGCTACCAGAAGGCATAAGGTGAATGTTAGGACAAACCAGCTCATAGCACAGACATTTCATTGACACAGTGAATGAACCTGCCCAGCCCTCTTCCAGCTTTGCTGTAGATGGACACTGAATCTCTTACTGCCAATGTAATCTCCACTGATTTCTATGGGACTACATCTACTTCTGAACACCTGTTCCACGTTAACCTGAAACAATCTGTTAAAAATGGATCAAGTGCTGCTCGATCATGGATCAAGGATCGAGTGCTGCTCACTGACTGATCTAAAAAATAAACTCAACCTATAAGATACTAAGAATGTCTGTGAAATCTTCAATTTAAGGACCTACCAAACCAGAAAATTTGTTTTAAGTTATTTTTTCTCACTAGCCCAAGTATCATCTAGAGTGTTTCTCTAACATGTTGTAAGCCCAGCAACTAAAACCTCAGAAGCATGGGAATTGAGAGAGATTTATAAGTGAAAAAAGGAAAACAGCTATGCAGCAAGGCCAAAGACTCAGGGCTCAATTTGCACAAAGTAAGAATGATGGTGAATGACTAAAATGTTCACTCAGATGGGATTAATCTTTTTTGTCTAGTGCAGCTTTTTGAGTTACTGCTGTCTCTGGCATTTAATTAGCAGCATAAAGCAGGGCAAAGTTGGGGTTTCCAACCTTCACCCTAGTGCATAGGGTTAAGTCAACAATGGCTTCATATCCAGGTAGAGAATAGAGACTGTCTGTCTGTTAGACAAATAATCTCCCAGCCCCCTCTGGATTCATGGTCTTTATCCCTTTTGTATGAGAGTTTAGGATGGAGGGAGCTGGGCAGGATGCCCGGCTCTGGGAACTTAAGTCTGGGAATTTAAGTCACAGGTTTCAATGAGATGTTTTCTGTGTTCTCAAGATGAGGCATTTTAGGGACTGGCATTTTAGAGATATAGCATCTAGCTTGGCATTTTACACTTCTACTGGTCTTCATAAGATTTCCATACATGAAAGAAGTGTTGTCCTTTCCTAAATGCTCTGGTTCAAGGTATGGAGGCTGTTTCCAAGCAGGGGCTGCAAAACAGCCAGGAGAGGTTGTCACTGAGAACACTGCCTTCCAGCATAATAAGCTTTCTCCAGGTAAGTTGTTTCTCTCCCTTGGAAAACACCTTGAAAGTCATGGCCATGTGGTATGATTAAGCTGGCTAAAAACAGAAAGCTGCCTTGGAGTTGGAATTATGAAAATAGTTGACGTGATTAAAAGTTATACTGAATGGTTTGATTCAATCTAAGAGCATGGCAATAACAGCTATGGGAGATAGAGCTTTCCATGGAGTAACACCCTTTCAGAGCATCTCTCTTGAGAACATGTTCCCAGTCAAAGCTGCAGGTGTGCAGAGCTGCCAACAATAAAGACAGACTTTTTTCATTTATAGAAAAGAACACAGGCTGAAGAAAAAAAAGAGGCTTTTGAAAAAGAAGGAAGAGCTGTCAATTTCTGCCTAATTATTTTCCTTATTTCTAACTCTGACACTAAACACAAGAGTTTGCTTCTCAGAGCAACAAAATATTTTTGTCTTGGTCCAAAAAATAATTAGATAATCTAGTCACAAAGCAATAACAAATGAGAGAGAAATAAGAAAACTGGAGGATATCTGATGAGGACTGTAACTTGTTTGAAGACTGGTCAAATATAAAATGATCTGCAGTTCTAGCTTTAAGTGATAGGAAGTTTTATTATAAAAGCATAATCTGAAACAAGTACAGACATCAGACACCATAGAAACAAGTATTTGAAAATAATCACCTGTTCCATTCTCTAGTATTTCTATCTAAGAATTACTTCTCACCCTATCTTTTCTGCTATTTGAGTGTCCTGAACACATTCCATCCTCAATGGAACTCTCCTTAGAAAGGAGTGCAATCTACAAAGCACAGATAAAGGCTTCTCTTTCCTTCCTATTCCTTCACACCACTCCTCTCCCCCCGGTTACTCATCTGTTTTTTACACTTCCTAAAAGTGCTCCCTGCCTATTGATTTCAGGCACCACTGCTTTCACACACAGTGTTAGCAATCATTGTTCTTTGTGATCCTAGCATTAAAAATCCTGATTGCCAAAAGATTTCCACGTGGACAGCATATCCTCTGAGAGAAGATATTTCTCTTACCAAAACAAGCACATGCCAACCAGTAAGCACCATTGCCCTCTCCCTAAAAGTGCTCCCACAGCCCCACCACTGCTCATCCATTATGCACTGCACCTCCAAAACTCTCCTGACCTTTAGAAAGATTGATTAAGGACTAGCTCTCCTTTCACATTTAGGTTACACTATACTTATAAGACATGGATTTTCAGTCCTTTCTACAAGGATCATCTTCTTCTCGTAGGTGAAGATAGAGATACAAGCCCAACATTGTCCACAGAGAGGAAACCATGAAGCACTCCTCACCTCCCTTCAGGGAAGGGAGAAGTGGTGACTGGAAAATCCAAATGGTAAATAACCCCTATACCATTTTTTCTCCTTCCCAGTATTCCTCCTATTTGCAGTATGTCCAAGGGTATCTTCATTGTATGCCTGTTCTCAGTATTCAGCTATCCAGTCCCACATAGGAAAAAATAAGCAAAGCTTTGTAGGAAGTGTTGGACTTCCAGGTTGCTCTGAGACAAGTGAAAAAGAAGGGCTAAAGTATTTCCTGACCAGTATCTGCTCTTCTAAAGATAAAAATGGATTAAAAGAGTGCAATGTAACCACCAGCAAATGTCAGTTTTACAAAGAATAAAAACATATAAACCATATTTAAAACAGAAATTAGGGGTCTAACAAGATATATTATTGGATATGATAGTTTTTCAAGACTGAAAAATCATAGTAAATAATAATAGTTTTTTCTGGACACAAAATCTATATAATAATAATAATAATAATAATAATAATAATAATAATAATAATAATAATAACAATAATAATAATAATAATAAAGTGTACACAGCAGTAGATAACCCTATTGTCTCTTTTTGGTGGAAGCTTTAAGTATTCTGAACTGTAATACTTTAACGTCTTAAAAGCTGTGGATACCTCAAATACCTAAACATTTCACAGAAATTGTTGTCCACTACTTAAAATTTGCTTAATTTTTACAAATTTCTAAAAATTTAAGCAATTACAGAACAAATCAGAGCATGACATTTTAGAACAGATCTCTGATACACAGTACTCTGAAAGCATTAATAATGGTTTTCTATTTCTGATTCTATTTAAAAGTGCAGGAACTACTGAATGTTTGTTTCTAGTAAACTCAGTAACTCATTGTGTAGTGCTAGACATCAAAGAAAAGCATTAAATGAGTAAAGACACTGCACATCTTCTGAAGTTTCCCTTTCAGAAAGTTGAAGAAAAGTGTCAGTGAGAAAATGTGATATAAAAGCTGTGATATTGCAGCTATACTAAATTTCTGACATGAGTTCTTCAGAGCAAAAAGGGCATGAGGGCCTGCCAGGCAATCACAGGTGCAGGCAGCTCCAGACAGTGAAAGAAATCACACTTGAGTGCTTCCCCAAAATAGCTCGGGTCATCTCCCGTGAAACATTTTCTGGATAAAGTTTAAACTCA